TCTGTACTGACTCGATGACACCTAACAACAACAATGCTTCTACAAAGTTTACTTGGATATTTTTCCATATCATTCCTTCTTTGGAAAATTTCCTAAAAAGGCCTAGCTTCTTGTTATTAAGTACTGTCAAGTCGATGTTATAGTCTGTCAGCTCAAGTAAATATACCCTGAAACCCAAAGCTCTAATATGAAGTTAAAGCAGAGGAGCAGGCCTAATTTTAACTTGGATTCTAATAGAGTAATTTCCCTGTAATATTTCCAGGATAAGCAACTTTCTGTGCTTTTCTGTGGCTCAGTTTTGTCATATAAAAGATGAGGACTATTGTGGGAATTTTCATGTTCACTTCATGGGCTTCTGGGGCTAGTGAGCCTATATACTAAACCCATTCTCATTTCTTGACTGAAAAGCACTCTAGAAACCCAAGTTTAATGTCTTTTCTACTTTATATTTTGTTACAGTTGCACCGAATGAGTGGCAAAGTAGTCATACAATAGAAATAGAGACAAATCAAACTCTGAAAATACCATGCTTTCAAAACATCTCCTCAGAAATTTCATCTGCTTTCACCTTTACATGGTTGGCGGTAAGTGTTGCCCTTTTCAGTGAAAAACTGCAATGATCTTTAAATATTAATGAAGAGAAAAATGAATAACAAGTAATTGCTGGGAAGAAGGTACCCTGGATGAGAAGCCCGCATTATGTGGGAGGATGGGGGGGGTCAGGGCCAACAAGAAGAAAGAGCAGTAAGATTTCTTCTACCTCAGCAAACCTGGACTCAAATGCAGTCAATTAATTTAGAAATTGACTCTTAAAGGTTAGTTTCTATTTTGAACTAGATACCAAACAATGATTACAGAGAGAACAGGATGTGGTAATATACTGCAGATAACCACATCCAGCAGAAACCCCTACTCACAATTTTTTTTCTTTTTTTTACAAGCAACATATGCAGAGAGATAGACCCCTTTTCCTAGAACCCTTACTACTGACATGGGAGATCTATGAGATATATAACCTGTTGTTTTAGATGTGGAAGCACAAACTCTCATGCTTATAAAATGTAGCTAGAAAATGTTCAACCGAGAAGCAAGACCTGTGTAAGAAACAGCCACTGTTAACTCTAGTCCATTATTGTTACCACAGAGGCTGCAGGCACATAGTTGTCATGCTTTCCAAATTAAAGAAAAAAGATAGAAATCTCTATACTTATGAGACATTTTCAAATTTTAAAAATATGTGGAACAAGATTAAGTAGTGATTCATTATTTTGAAAGAACAGTTTACCAATGTACCTAAACATAACACTAACATTTGTTTAATTATCAAGTAAGAGAGAGATTTCTTGAATCTTCACTTCTATTATATTATATTTCATTGAACCGAGTCAGTTCCAACACTTAGTTACTCTGTATGGGGTTTCGGAAGCTGTTAATCTTTACAGGAGCAGAAAGTCTCATCATTGGCAGCCCAGCTCCATAATCTACTATACTACAGAACTCACTATATTTTAGCTAGTTAACTCCTTTATGTTAGTCTCTACAAAGATGGCTTCCCTCTTATCACAAAGCAATTGTGACACTGGTACTCTATTGTGATTTCTGGTGAGTTGCTCTGTGATGAATGAATTCTCCCACTATTTTTCTCTACTTGAAATAATGCAAAATTTTCATCTGTCCAACTCCATAATTTAATCTGCTTTGTAGGATAAGCACTGGATTACTAATCATAAGGTTGGTGGTTCAAACTCAGCCATTGCTCAGAAACTGTATACAGGGTCACCATGAGTCAGTACCAACTCGACGGCACTTAATAACAACAATAATCCTTTGTGATGCTGAAGGATAGGTACTGGACAGCTAAGTCCAAGTCTGTCAGTTCAACCACACCAGCCACTTCTTGGAAACCCTATATAGGGTTTCTGTGTGTTGGAACTGATTCTAAGGCACTTAACAACAGCAACATTCTTTAACATGAATATGTTATTCACATGCTTTGTCTGCGTTGGTTATTTTATCATCAGTCTGCAACATTAGTCTGATATATTGTCATTCGATTTTTAAAGGCTAAATTTAATTTGAAGAAGCCCTGGTGGCACAGAGGTTAAGCAATCCCTTGGCTACTAGCTGAAAGATTGGCAGTTCAAGCCTGATAGCTATTCCATGGGAGAAAGATACGGCAGTCTGCTTCCATGAAATTGTATAGCCTTATGTCTCTAAAATGGAAAATATTACAGTTTTGTCTCATAACAGGTAAACAAAATCAGCATGCATATAACAGTGGATATGATATACTTGTGTTATTTTAACATTAAGAGAAGCCAACCAGTGGAAGCCAGATAATAACCAACACAGTACATGTCTATGACTATTAAATCAACAGAGAACATGAGTATACTTTTAATGATAGTGTTAACACAATTATAAAGATAATAGTAAAGAAAGATTCTGAAATCACATAAAGTATACATTTAGATAGTTTAGAACATGGTTATAGTAATGTCCTAATTATCATCAAAACGAAAACATAAAATTTAACAATCCTTTCAAGACTCAGGGATCTCTATGAAAGCAGCAGCAGATGCAGTTTAATAAATATTATATTTCCATGGTTAATCATTCATATTATAAGCTAACTAATTATATATCATGGATTAACTTGGAAACTTGACTGTTTTGTATAAATAGACTTCTCTGGAAGTATGCCAAGTCCAGAATAACTGCCTTTCAAGTATTTACTGCCATCTTTATCATTCTCCTACACAGCAGCTGGTGGGTTAGAACTGCTGACCTTGTGGCTAGCAGCCCAACGTGCAAGTAGGCCTTAATATACAACTTACTGATAATTTTTGAATGTATAGATGTGTTTTTTTATTATGAAGACGATACAGGAATGGGCGATATTTCATTCTGTTTTACATAAACTCACAACAGATGCATTAGATAGAATGAGGGGGTGGATAATCTAATTTAGCTTCCTCAATCAAACTCTTTTAAATAAATCTACAATGTTTCTTTGTCATCTGCCTCAAAACACATTCTTCCCTTTTTGTTGTTGTTGTTGTTGTTAAGTACAAACAAGTGGGTCCTGCTTCTTAACAACCCTGTGCACATTTTCCAAGAGCTGCTGGTGGGTTTGAGCTATCGGCTTTGAAGGTACCAATACAGTGCTTAAACTACAGCGTGGCACCAACCATCCCTCCCACCACACTGTCCACTCACCTGGGCTTGATAATTCATTGCAACAGCCACACAGAACTCAAGACCACCATACTCACAGTTATGGGGTTTATTATGAAGTTAACAGGTTACAAACAGTTCTTACTGTGCATTCTTTTTTAAATGTCAGAAATGCTCAGGGCACAGCTGTTCACTGGGAAAACCTGTCTTCAGCCTTCCCCACAGGCAGGCCATACTCCGCTGGACTAATGTTACTAAGCTCTTTTAGGGCTGCTGATAAAAGTCCACCACTCTGCTATAAGCCTTACCTTGAAGGCACTTAGCTCTAGCTCTGTGAATCAGCAATCACTACCCCCCAATTAAGTACCTGGAGACACCCCACTCTACAAGCAAGTCTCCTGCCCAAAGTCACTCAGATGTACTTGCTCTGTGGGCTAGGAAGCCCAGCATTCTGTGTCGGGCTCTGGCTCTTGGTTCTGCTACTGCTGCTTCTCTGCCACCCCTCCAGTTGTCTCAGCTTTCTATCCTGGGATCAAGAAGATTCAATGCACAGGGATCTTAGAGTCCAAAGGACATACTCCACTCCCAGATCTTCTTTAATGGTAGTAAGACCCTCCCTCCTGCTTCTCTTATGGTTCATTTATGCCCACATTAGAGTTCGAAGTTTTCACAATTAACCTTGTTACTGATCATTTACAACTGAGTCATATAATCTATGAAGTCATATAATCTTCTCTTACCCAGACCCACCAGAAGAAAAGTCATTTGGTATAACTTTGCAAAGACTATAACTAGAATAGGCATTAAATAATTCAGTACACCACAAAAGGTTTTGGTTTTCAAGATGATTAAGGCTTCCTGGACATTATGTCTAGTGAATAAATTCTGACCAATAGTGACCCTGTATTGGGTTTCTGATATGGGATCAGACAGCCTCATCTTTCTCCCACAGAGTGGCTATTGGGTTTGAACCACAGACCTTGCAGTTCGCAGGCCAATGCTTTTCTCACAACACCATTGTTGTTGTTGTTATGTGCCATAGAGTCGGTTCTTACTCATAGCAAACCTGTACAGGGTTTCCGAGGCTGTAAATCTTTATGGGAGCAGAAAGCCTCTTTCTCCCGCGGAACAGCTGGTGGTTTCGAACTGCTAACCCTGAGGTTAGCAGCCCAATTTGTAACCACTACGCTACCAGAGGCTCCTTATATGTCCATTTTTCCTAGTATACATGATGTAATATAGCTTTTAGAAAAAGTTTTAAAAGTAGAGAGGAGATCAGGAGGGCAGAAACCTACTATGTTAAAATAAATGTTAAGGTAATAGAAAAGCACTGTTTATACCATACTTATATCATTAATGTTTTCCACTAACAGGAAAAGAAATTACTATCTTAATTATCACAAATTCACAATCAATGGGAATCAGCGCCATAGAACTGTACAGTAGAGGCTTATATGATTTAGTAATTGCTCTCTTACGTGCTTGGCTGCTAACCAAAAGGTTGCGGGTTCAAGCCCACCCAGAGAAACTTTAGAAGTAAAATCTGGGGATCTATTTTCAAAAGATCATGAAACGTCTATGGAGCACAGTTCTACTCTAACACATATGAATAGGAGTTGCTATGAGTTGGGGTCAATTTCATGTCAACTATCAGCTTATAAATTTATCTGTAGTAAATTTGATAATTTATCTTATAAATTATCAAATGTAAAGCCCTCAGTCAGTCCTTTTGTGACTTTTGTGTTACTTTCTTGAGCTTCTCCAAGCCAAGAAGTTACATCATTCACGTCACAAATCCCTAACACCTAGCTTAGTATCTGGAACATGAGAGAAACTCAATAACTACTTGATAAACAATTAACTGCATTTGCTTCTCTCCTATCACTTTCCCCACAAAATCCATCATTGTTTTTATATTAAACTGATGTCCATTAAGTTCATGCTGACTGACTGGTTGGTTAATGAGTGGCATTTTACTTAGTGTCAATGATGGAATAACTGGTACAGCTTCCTTTCCTTTTCTTTTCTTCAAAAAACTATGAAGACTCTGTGAAATTATCTTTTGAATCCCTGCCGAGACTTTTAGAATAAATGAGGGTCAGACAGAGTGCGGGTAAGGTCACACAGTAAGAGGGTGACTTCTAAACTCCTACTAGAACCTCAAGGTATCCTGTCATCATGAATGCATCATGATTCAGAATTTTATGAAAGAATCTTCTCTTCAAAGGGAGCATTGTATTAGAAATGAGGCAATTCCTACTGCATTCTCTTTTTAAATGTCAAAATTCATTTGTTCCTCTGATTTACACCCCTACTCCACACTGATGATGACTATGGAATTCAGCAAGTGTGATAAGGAACCATCTAATTTTTTTATACTAGGAATAAAATGCAGCTCTTCATGAGATGATTGGTATATTTCTACAAAGAACATAAATATCCCCTCTAATGCATATTTTAGGCTTTTAGTCTTTTGTTAAACTGACAATAATAATCATCATGGGAATGAAAACTAATATTTACAATAAAGCATAATATAACTTTTAGGAAAAAAATTTAAAACTATGCATTGGGATGAAGAGCTGAGGAAGGCAGAAACCTTCTATAGTAAACTCAGTTACTATGAGAAAAAACAAAGACCTCCCCACCTCAAGTGGTTCTTTAAGGCCTGGAAACAATCCTGCAAATCACTAGACAACAAAAAAGCATATCTTTTTGTCTGTGGAACCTTTAAAAGTCTAATTTTGTCATGATCCTAGCTGTTGTTATGTGCTGTGGAGTCAGTTCCGACTCATAGCAAACCTGTACAGGGTTTCCAAGGCTGTAAATCTTTACAGGAGCAGAAAGCCTCATCTTTCTCCCATGGAACAGCTGGTAGTTTCGAACTGATGACCCTGAGGTTAGCAGCCCGATATATAACCATATGCTACAAGAGCTCCTTCATGACCTCATAAGAAAGGTTATTATTGGGATGCTTAGTTGTCATCAGCAGCAAAAAGATTAACTTACTCTGTATTCCTGGTACCATGCTAAGACTGTGTTAGTTGCATTAGTGACTGGGATCCTTTGCATTTGGGAAATCTCTAATTCAGGATTGTGACTACACTGAAATATGTAAACACAAAGGATTAGTCCTTCACTGGAAACTGAGGTATTCATGTAAATGATGGTATAGTATATAAAAAATAATAGATTATGTATGTTTAATGAATAAAATTGGTAGATAAAGAGCAAGTGAAGTTTTCCTCATTTTATGTCCTGAGACACAAGGAAAATTCTGCAAGCTTATTGTGGGTATCTCAAAACACCCTGAGTCTGGGGTGGTACAAACAGCTAAACATCCTACTACTAGCCTAAAAATTGTTGGTTCAAAACCACTCAGGGGCACCTTAAAAGACAGGCCTAGCAAACTGCTCCTGAAAAAGCATAATCTTAAAAATCCTGTGATACAGTTCTACTCTACACACCAGGCATCACCATGAGTCAAAATCCTCTAGACAGTGTCCTCACCACTGGATCAATAAACAACATCCATGTAAATGAAGAAAAGTTTGAAGTTGTCAAGGACTTCATTCTTCTTGGATCAACCATCAATACTCATCAAAGCAGCAGTCAAGAAATCAAAGAATATATTGCATTGGGCAAATCTGACTTCACAAGACCTTTTTAAAGTGTTGAAGAGCAAAGATGTCAGCTTGAGGACTAAGGTGAGCCTGACCCAAGCCATGGTATTTTCAGTCGCCTCATATGCATGCAAAAGCTGGACAGTGAATAAAGAAGGCCTTAGAAGAATTGATGCATTTGAGTTATGGTGTTGGAGGAGATTATTAAAATTACCATGGGCTGTCAAAAGAACAAACAGATGTGTGTTAGAAGAATTACAGCCAGAGTGCTCCTTGGAAGCCAGGATGGCCGGACTTCATGTCTTATACTTTGGATATTATTAGGAAGGACTAGTCCTTAGAGATGAATATCATGTTTGGTAAAGTGGTGGGTCAGAGAAAAAGAGGAAGAGCCCCAATGAGATAGGTTGGCACAGTGGCAGCAGCGATGGGCTCAGGCGTAGCAGTGATTGTGAGGTTGGCCCAGGACTGGGCAGTGTTTCCTTCTGTTTTGCATAGAGTCACTATGAGTACTGACTTAATGGCACCTAAAAACAACAACTAAAACTAAATGCACTCTAATGTTTTGATTTTATTCCATATTACGATTCTGATTTCCCACAGTATGAATTTTAATTCAATCCACTAAATATCCTATTATGAGTGGTGGCAAGACATTGGCTCCATACAATAAGCACTGGGCTTCAGACCACAAGGTCTGTAGTTCAAGTCCGCTAGCCTCTCCATGAGAGAAAGATGAGATTTTCTGTTCCATCGAAGATTTAATGCCTGGAAAACCCTATTTAGGGTCACTACAAGTCTGAGTGAACTCAACAGCACTAAAAACAACGTTCTGAGTGGTAGGCCCTACAAGAATACAAAATTGTATTGCCATGAAAAAAACCTTTAACTAAAATGCAAAACCCAGCAATACCGTGGGAAAATAGCTTTATTCTGACCTCGAAAAGCTTTGTAGGAAAGGTTGTATTTCAACTGGATATGTAAAGAAGAGTTGAAATGAAAACAGCAGACAAACAACAAGGTGACGTTGTAAATTTTAAAACAGCTTTGGGGAATTTTCAT